CTGCACCTAGCCTCGAATTGCTTATGTGGATGTGTTGGTGTGAACTAAAATGCGTACACATGTATGTATGTGTCTATGCGTATGATGGTTCCACTCCAAACAAACACAGAAGTAGACTCCACCTCCCGCCACCAAACACAGTCAAACAAGCATAAAAAGATCCAATTTTAAAAAATAAACTAGTTTGTCTGATGATCGCGAAAGCGTGAAACCCAAGGCCACAAACTCATACCCGTAGAACTTATTATGTTAACTCTATCATTGATATTGAGCGCTTTTCACTAAGTTACGCGCATATAAAATTATATATTATATATATATATATATATATATATATATATATATATATATATATATATATGAACAAGTACTTGAACAGAACATAAACACTGATTTCCCTTCATCCATATTTGCAATTTCCTTGCTACTGTTTTAATTCCGGAAGCTCTTTTTTGCAGTTTATGTATTTAGCAACTGAAAGTGTTGAGTTTATCTATACCCAAATCGACGGGATTTCAATGGGTATTCCTTTGGGTTCAGTATTAGCTAACATTTTTGTCGGTTTCTACTAGAAGCTTTTGTTTGAGAAATCCCGTAAATCTCATGCATATTTACGCTACGTTGATGACAAGTTTTCCATCTTTGATACCATCAAAGATACTACGGCTTTTCATACTCGACACAATTACCTTCATCCATATTTGCAATTTACCATGAAAGTGGAGAATGATTGGACTTTGCCTTTCTTCGATGTTCTTGTTGAACGTAGAGATGGTCTTTTTATCTGCTGCGTTTATCGCAAACTTACGTTCACAGGTTTGTATACTAACTAAAATTCCTTTGTTCCAAAAGCCCGTACGATTAACCTGATTTCCACTTTAGTCTGTCACGCGTAGATCATTTGTTCTCTGCGTACTCTTGACCTGGAACTGGAGAAAATTCATCACATTTTTATTGGCAATGGTTTTCCTGTCAGTTTTCTTAAGCGTTTTGGTTTGAGTACAATTAGACATTAGAAAGAACCGGTAGTTTTTGGTCCCAGTCTTTGTCCTATTTATTTGAAACGGACATGGCTAGGCAGGAAGAATCAAATGCTTGAAGACAGAATGTCAGTTTGCATTACATCAAGTTTTTCGACTATCAAGCTACGGGTTGCTTTTAAGACCATTTCTTTGTTTCCATTTTTTGTTAAAGATCGTCTGTCCTGCTTTAGGAAAATGAAAAGATACACCGTCCTTATTACCCTAGCGACCAACTACAGCAACTCTAAGCATAGCCAGCTTCTTAAATATGGCCAAGTGAACAGGTAAAACTAGAGGTTCTTCCGCGCAAACTTCACAGAACGGTGATGTCCACGTTCACGTCGTCTCTATCATGGCACTCGGGTCATATCGCCCCACTTGCCGCTGAGTCAATGCATATAACAGTGTTGTACACGGTGCTCATGCCCTGGATTAAGGGAGTGGACATTTAATTTCGAGCATTATTATTTCTTTCCATAATTCCCACGTCAGTGTTCGGCCAAAATCTTTGAAACAGCAGCCATTCAACCTTCCCGATTTGAATCCCGGGTAGTTTTGTCGTATATAAGTATATATAGCATTGAGATGCTGAATATGTAGAACTAGTTTGAGGTTAGAGAGCCATATGTGTCAACGTGTTCCTGCCAATATAAAATCAAGCAATCTGAGTCTTTCTTCTAGGACGACTCGGTCGGCATATGATTCGGCAACAGCTACTCGATTATCCCGTCTCTGCCATCAAATATGTAGATAGTTTTTCAGTTTTGCACAGAGCCCAATCTGCTCACCACTTGCGTGTTCTCAAGAACAGATCCGGTTGTCAGGTTCGGCAGATGTAATGATATGTATATTTGCTCAAACAACGTATCATTACATCAACCTAATCTGTGCAAGAACATTTCATTCGCTGTGTTTGTTTGGAGGGTCATGAGTGAGATTTTTCCCCATTTACACTCAATTGGAACTGTTTAAGACTTATTTTAATCGTGAATTATTTACTATTTAATTGTTTTAATCGTGTTTCAAAGTTTCAGTCCTCATTTAACATATGGTGAAGTCGCCCATCGTATTAGACGTATGTAAGTCAAGCAGTTCAGTTCCTAGGAACCAACAGCCCAGACACCAGCACATATGATTTGATTATAGTGGTGAAGGCTTTGTGTAGAACAAACCACACTTTTTGAAGAGCCGAACGATCTCCCGCAAGTTTTGAATTTGTTCTTCTCCTAGTCCAGTTGCCATCCAAGGCTATAGAACCCAGTTTGTCCTGCTATTTATTTACCCATAGCTGGTGGGAGAAGATTAGGACTAATACCGTTCCCAAGTGTATTAGCACGTAAGTGAATGTAATTGATTCGACCGCTACCCACTACTCCACCGTACCCTCCTATAATCTCTTGTTTCGCCAGGTTTGTGCCAAAGATACACTCTGAAAAAGTGTTGGCTGAAAAGAATACCTTTAGGAAAAGAAAACATTAAAAACGCCGTTGCACTTTTTCAAATACACACACACACACACACACACACACACACACACATATATATATATATATATATATATATATATATATATAATCCCTTGAAAATAAATATTTAACGTTTTTCAACCAATGAGTCACATTCCCACCGCCAGTAAAAAAAGAAAAATCTTCATGATCCATTTGAAGAGTATTTAAGCAAAGTTCTTAGACGGAGAAAGACAGTAAGGTGATGCGTGCGACAACAGCACGACTTAAAGGAAATTCACTAACACATTCACCCCTTTTCCTCACTAAGCTACGTGAGACTTACAATCTTGCTCACCAAGCTACGTGAGATTTACAATCTCCATCGCCAAGCTACGTGACTCTTACACTTTTCTCCTCATTTTCTCCCTTGCCTCTCTTTTTCACACATAGATGTTGAGGAATCACATCTTTTTCATCTTAATAACGACAAACAAGGAATTTTAACACAAGAATTTTGACACTCATACACGCTGAGAAAAATTTAGTTGTAAAAACACGAAAATACAAACATTTTATATTTTTATATTTAAAAACTTTTCTTTTTCTTTGTTGTGGATTGATTCAAATCAAATCCTCAACATAACTATCTTATTCTTTCCCTTGTCTTTTCTACAAATATTTTCATGGCAAGTGTTCTCAACATAACAATGTTAGGTAATTTACGCGATCCGAATGTATAACTGATTACAACTCAGAACAATCTGGGATCGGACAGATACTAAACTCTCATATAAAGTGGAAACGTATAGTGATGGTAGATACAAGGAGTTAGCGTTAAGCCATTGAAAAGCATTCAGTTTTTGCCTTCAAAACTCAGAGGGTTAGAAGACCGCCGCATTTCAAATGCCTGTGATCAAATGGAATACACTGGTTTCAATCTCATGCGTTCTCGCTTGCACTACTCAGAGGAGCCTTCTCACGTAGCCACGTGATTTCGTCCGACTGGTATAATTCAGTGGCAAAGCAGACAAAAAAATGATCTGATAAACACGAAAGCAATGAACTGAATGAAACGTTAGCTGTCCGAACTTCAACAACAGCTGCAAATGTACTATGTATATCTACAAATATCTAACAGTTATTAACTGAATTTAGAACTGAAATTTTCCCTGTATAATGTTCGATTTACGTAATAAATGAATAAGTGTTAGGTTGACAACATACAAATAATTGAAACCGCTGTAAGCGAACAAATAATCTATATATAAAATTCTGTGACTTCCGTCCTTCCGTCCTTTACAACCCTCTAAAATAGCCATACATCGAAACCAAATGTTGGGGAGAAGCACAAACAGGTAAGTGGGGGTACAAATTACAGCTGCTTTTACGACGATGCGTAACTTGGTACAATAAATTTTCATTAATTTTCTTGAAAAAATAATAGTTTTATTATTTAAAATACAAAATACTTCCTCTATTTTAAAAACAATTTAATGATTAAAATAAAAAAAAAATACTCATTTAATAAAAATGCAATATTGTTTTTTGCATACCTTTTCTTTAATTTTTTTATATATATTTCATTCTGGTAAAATATAATGCGCAGTAGTAGCACTGTAAATATAAACACAGTAGGGAAAGTTTCAAATGAGCGGAGGATTTAAAGAGTATGAAATCTTGTGAGTTTTTCAACATGCATCAACATGTTGCAAAAAAATTCTAGTAAGAAAAGTACTTACTCAGGTCGTAAGATAACATTGTCCAACGGATAATCAAAAGACGTGTTCAGCATTTTCATCTGCTGTTCTGCGTCCAGTATTTTCATCTGCTGTTCTGCGTCCAGCATTTTCATCTGCTGTTCTGCGTCCAGAATCCGTTCCAGTTTTTCTTGCTGCATCTTCAACGGTTTTCTTTTGTACGAATTGGTCTGTACGAATAAGTTACGAACGTAACCTTTCCCCTTCTTTTCTTGGATTCGACGGCTGTTTTTGTCCGTGGTTTTGTTTTTTTCTTCAGTCTCTGTTGCAAGCACCAAAAGCGTGTATTTGGGCCTGGAATGTCACAGCTGTCACTTGTGGTGACAAAGATTTCAATGCAGAACGAAGTTAGTGAAAAAAAATACTCTGATAAAAGAAAAAGAAAGAGACTAATCATTTACTATAAAAGATAAGTTTAATCACAAATTGATAACGGTAAATATTTATTTTTGATCAATACACGTACATTAAAAGATATATATATATATATATATATATATATATATATATATATATATATATATATATATATATACATGAATACGACATGCAAGGTGCTTTTATTTTTTTTTTATACATTTTCTCATGCAATCTAATAATGTTTTTTCTTTTCGGGTGATAAATTATATAAAAACTGTCCGAATGTTATTTTTATCCGAGCGCTTTCGGCTATACATTTAGCAATTTTCAAAGATTAAATATTCTAATTGTTAAATAAGAAATAGTTTGTTGTGTGTATGTTTTATGAAATGTTTTCATTCTTCAAAACACGGTCAATATATATATATATATAGAGAGAGAGAGAGAAAGAGATAGATAGATAGATAGATAGATAGATAGATAGATAGATAGATAGATAGATAGATAGATATAGTGGTGGCATCCTACCAGCTCGAGCGAATATTTTCTTAAAATTATAAAAGCTTAGCGAACCGAAAATAATCTTACATATTAATGGTTTAAGTAAAATGTTAGTTACGCAAACGCAAATGTGTGCACTTAGTGAAAATCTAATAGACACATAACATCTACCCTGAAGTAAAAAATGTGGCAAATCTTCTAGTCATAGATTTGATTGGTCTTCCATTGGATCTTTGGGAGTGTAGCAATTCAGTTTTGAATGTGGCTAAGAAAGTATAACACAGTTGATGACAACAAGAGTCAAAAAGCATCACACCTTTGAACAGGAATATGATGAGAACAGAATTTCAATCTGGAAATATCTTAATAAATAAATGTTTTCTGTTAAATTATTAAAATGGTTTAATTCTTTTTGATACTATAAAGTGTTTGTTTCCATTCTCAGATTGAAAATAAAATAAGTACAATATGTTCCTAAAGATTACCTGCCTTTATAGAACCGGTTCCTTGAATTTTAGGGTGCCACCACGGTATCAAGGACAATATTTACATTCTAGTGACCTAATTTTTGTCTGTGGGTGTATGTTTGTTATCATATTCCAAAAGAAAAACAACACATTGTAGTGTAGTTTTTGTTAGGGCAATACTGTTAATATGTGATATCTTTAAGAATATAACTCCATTTTGCAACTTATTAATAATATTGTGGAGTCTGCATTTTCACTTACCTAGGAAATGTTGACCCGATCTTTATATGCTTGTTTCTGTGTTAACTTAAAAAAAAATTGTTTTTAAATATTTCTGTTACATATTTTTACACATAAATATTTTTATTTGATATTTCTTACATAGAATATTTTTAGAAAATAAATGTTTTATTATTTAACTAATATCGTTATTAAATATAAAACTAACTATTCGTTTCGATTCTTTTTAGGTTTCCTCTGCAATGATAAAAAAATTTCACACTTTACTGAATTTTAGGCATGTATATTCGAAAATCATTTAACACTCAGTTTCTGCTGATTAGAGATTAGTCGTACAATTAAAGCTGTAGTTTGGCAAAGTAGTGAGTAGTCCGCCAGGATTATGCCTTCATTTGCAAATCATTTAACCCTAGAACACTAACCATGGGTATAATATACCCAGTGCAAATTTTCTTATTTTACAATTTTCACTACATAATTTTCTTACCTACATAATATGTTTTTCAGTTCAGTTTGAAGTGCTTGCATGTAAAATATTTCAAATAAAGATTTATATTTAATATTTATTTTTTTGATATTTTCAAAATCGGGTATGATATACCCATGGTTAGTAGTGGTGTAACTTTAATTGATGGTTAGTGTTCTTGAGTTAAACATAGCGTTTAATGTAACGGCTATCGGCGTGAAAAGTGGAATCGATGAGCCGAGTTCAAGTTCCTGCCTAGTCTATTGCGTTTAATTTCGCACTAGTGGTCTTGGAAAAAGGCATGGGTCTATCCTTACCCGAGAATTAATGGCAATTCACACAAGATAAGGAAACGGAATCTGTGGAGAGCTATGATCGCCTACGTCCTGAGAGAATATATACAGTGTATCACAAAAGTGAGTACACCCCTCACATTTCTTCAAATATTTAAGTATATCTCTTCATGGGACAGCACTGAAAAAATTACCTTTTGACACAATGAAAAGTAGTCTGTCTGCAGCATATATAACAGAGTTAATTTCTTTTCCCTCAAAATAACTCAAAATATAGCCCTTAAAAAGCTAAATCCTGGCAGCAAAAGTGAGTACACCCTAAGAAACTACACCCTAAAAAGTGAGTACACCCCTAAGAAACTACACCCTAAATGTCTAAATTGAGTACTGCTTTTCATTTTCCCTCCAAAATGTCATGTGACTCCTTAGTGTAACTATGCCCATGTGTTCATGGGGAGCAGGTGTATTCAAATTTGTAGTGCAGCTCTAACACTCTCTCTTACCGGTCACTGAATGTTCCAACATGGCACCACATGGCAAAACTCTCTGAGGATCTTAAAAAACGTATTGTTGCACTACATAAAAGATGGCCAAGTCTACAAGAAGATTGCCAACACCCTGAAACTGAGCTGCAGCACAGTGGCTAAGATCATCCAGCATTTTAAAAGAGCAGGGTCCACTCAGAACAGGCCTCGGGTAGGTCGTCCAAAGAAGCTGAGCGCACGTGCTGAGCGTTACATCCAAATGCTTTCTTTGAAAGATCGGCGTAGGAGTGCTGTTAGCATTGCTGCAGAGATTAAAGAGATTGGGATTCAGCCTGTTAGTGTTCAGACCATACGCCGCACACTACATCAAATTGGTGTGCATGGCTGTCACCCCAGGAGGAAGACTCTTCTGAAGGCAATACACAAGAAAGCCCGCAAACAGTTTGCTGAAGACATGTCAACAAATCCCATAGATTACTGGAACCATGTCCTATGGTCTGATGAGACGAAATTTAATTTGTTTGGTTCTGATGGCCTTAAGCATGTGTGGCGGTGACCAGGTGAGGAGTACAAAGATAAGTGTGCCATGCCTACAGTCAAGCATGTTGGTGGGAATGTCATGGTCTGGGGCTGCATGAGTGCTGCAGGTATTGGAGAGTTACATTTCATTGAGGGAAACATGAACTCCAACATGAACTGTGAAATACTGCAGCAGAGCATGATCCCTCTCCAGAAAAGAGCAGTGTTCCAACATGACAATGACCCCAAACACACATCCAAGTCAACCACTGCTTTACTGAAGAGGCCAAAAGGTGATGGACTGGCCAAGCATGTCTCCAGACTTGAACCGAATAGAATATCTTTGGGCCATCCTCAAGCAGAAGGTGGAGGTGTGCAGAGTCTCAAATATCCGCCAGCTCCGCGACGTCATCATTGAGGAGTGGAAGAGCATTCCAGTGACTACCTGTGAAGCTCTGGTAAACTCCATGCCCAGGAGAGTAAAGGCAGTTTTGGATAATGATGGTGGCCACACAAAATATTGACAGTTGACATGTATGTTAATATTGACAACTTTTCCTAAGGGGTGTACCCCCTTTTGTTGCCAGGGATTTAGCTTTTAATGGCTATATTTTGAGTTATTTTGAAGGAAAAATAAATTAACTCTGTTATATATGCTGCAGACAGGCTACTTTTCATTGTGTCAAAGTGTCTTTTTGTCAGTGTTGTCCCATGAAGAGATATACTTAAATATTTGAAGAAATGTGAGGGGTGTACTCACTTTTGTGATACACTGTAGCATTAAAAATAATTACTGACTCTGCTGATGATTTAAAGTTTAAAGTTGTGGAAAATGGAAGCGGTCGAGAGAGTTTGTGCTCATTTCGCACTAATGCCCTTGGGAAAGACACAACTCCATCACTTCTTTCTTCAGCTATGAGCAGAAGAAAAGAACAGCTTTGGTTGGAAATAAGTCTAGTAGAAGGGCAACTCAAGTTCGATGTAGAACTCTTTGATTGCTTTCCGATAGCTTCTAATTCCAATATACCAATATATATCGCTTTCAAAACTGTATTGCTGGCGAGACTGTGGTAAAGATTCGATGGGCCTGGCAAGCATACTGTGCTGTTCATGATGACGGTCGTCTTTGAGTATAGAATCCAGAGGTTAGCAGTGAATATTTCGAAGACAGTAGGAAAGCGTTGTTCAGGTTAGCAGTGGATATTTCGATAAAAGTAGCAGAGCGTAGTTCGTCCTTCTGTTATCTCTTCGCCTTACAAGCTGGAACTGGACATTCGGGTAGAGTAGACAAAATGGCCGCCTTTATACACGACGGATTGAATGTTCTACGTTTTCTGATTAGTTAACCTTCTATTGGTGGACTATAAAGTGAGTCAAGTCATTTGGGCTAACTCACTAGTAGATAGATATACACAAAAAACTGCAACATACTGAATCAAAAAAAAAAAAATCATCACCAAAGAGACGTAGCTTGCCTTTGTCTTTTCTACAAATATTTTCACGGTAATTGTTCTGATGAAATTTTTTTTCTTTAATGCCTCGACTGCATGAATTTAAGCGTGTTACTATATTGGCACTCCTAGTACCCACTCACCTGCGTCTTAATGGCATTAACGTCTTGTTTGAGGTGAAATGATTAAACAATTATTCAAACACAAATATCAGAATCGCCTCGCGACATTTCATAGTATAAGTGGACAAACAAAACATTATCTCAATTAAATAAAGTAACATTGATAACAAAATGATAAAAAAACGTATCTGGTTAAAACACATTAAGGTAAGGTTCAATTCTATTGGCTGATGAAGATTAACTCTGGAATAAACAACTGTAACCCGTTTGAAATGTGTACTTACGTTCTTCAATAGCGAATGGTAATTTCTTGCTGGGTTACTCGGTTTGCATAAATTGTTCAAACAACTTCGTGGCCGGTTCAGCTTGCCGGTGCAGTTACTATGCCTCTGGGTCAATCCTCTTGAGGCGAAAAGAAAATTTACACGTTATATAGAAACATCAAGAAGTTCGTGGCCTAATGATAAAAAAAGCATTTATTTTACACAACAAATCATTATATTCCAACATAATCTTCTTTGTCAAGGCACTTAATTCAGTGACAAATATTAATAACACAAGAATACAGAAGATTTTAGATAAAAATTTAGTGTCATATTGATCAAAAGGTAACAATAAAATGAGAAATACTTCCATATATATATATATATATATATATATATATATATATATATATATATATATATATATATTATTGTGTGTGTTAGCAGCATCTTTTCATTCATACGTTTCATTAAATAATATAGACAAGTGTTGTCTATTTATTTTATGTAAATTCTTTTCATAACGACTGATAAGTTATAGATAATGTTATTAAACTTATCAGACGTTATGAAAAGAATTTACATAAAATAAATAGACAACACTTGTCTATATTATTTAATGAAACGTGTATGAATATATAGATAGATAGATAGATAGATAGATAGATAGATAGTAGATAGTTAGATAAACCTAGTGAGCCAGACAAACCTACCCAGGTTTCAACTAAGCGGATCGTCAGGGAAAGCTGGCTAAAGAGGCAAAGAGAAATGCATATTTATAGGTGATAGTCAAAATTATACCACGTGACCAAAGAAAGAAAACACAAAAACACCGAGGGGGGGGGTTAAAGATTTATTCAACTAAAAGGGGAGGGGATATTAAAATACGAACATTAAGGTTATGCGTTTCTCTTTGCCGTTTGTCTAGCTCTCTAGGTTTATCTAGGTCTGCTCTACGCTTGTATCGAGCTCTTTTGTTAGTTGTTTACTCGTGTCGGGTTTTTTTTTCTTTGGGCTTCAAACCTGTATCTGTGCGATTTTTTTCGACAGGCTTTCATGTTTCGAGCTCTTTCTTTTTTTTTTAAAACCTTTTTACCTCGAGAATTTGATTATTTGCAAATCAAAAATTGAGGGTTTTGATTATAGTTACATATATATATATATATATATATATATATATATATATATATATATATTCGATGATGAGGTCAAGTGAAGTTTCAGAAACCGACAGCCCGACATCGGCACATGAGATTTGATTATAGTGGTGAAGGCCTCGTGCAGGACCATCCACACTTTTTGAAGGGACGAATACAGAGACCTGGTGCACCGAATGCCACAAGGTTCCCAAACGACCCTCCGCAGGTTTTGAATTCAGAGTTGTTCTTCTCCTAGACTAGTTGCCACCCAAGGCTATAGAACCCAGTCTGTACTGCTATTTTACCCATAGCTGGAGGGATATATATATATGAACACTTCAGTGACGAGCATTATAGGTTTCTCTCGGCCCGATCCACTGCCGACGTCCTAACTACCATCACTCACAGAATCACTGAGACTCTTGACAACAAACACACCTCGAGGACCATAGCAATAGATATCTCAAAAGCCTTCGACAATGTGTAGCACAAAATCTTACTACACAAGTTCTCCAGTTATTATATCACCGGAAGGATCTCTTCTCAATCATCAAATCCTTCCTAACAGGTAAGCCCCTGGAGGTAGTTATCAATGGCCAGTTATTTGGAACCCTAGAGGTCAACGCTTGCATTCTCCAGGGATCACTCCTCGAACCAAATCCTCTTTATGATTTACATAAATGATCTGCTTAAGAATATAGATCATTTGTAAACATCTATGCTGATGATCCGACTATATACGGACGCACCTCTAAAATTTTGATGATCAGAGATTGGCGACTGAACTCTCTTCCGATCTTGCACAAACTATCCAATGGGGTAAAACTGGCTCGTTAATTCAATGCCTCAAAGATCAAGCTAGTTACCTTCCATCACTACCGATCTGTCCCCGAACTGCCATCAATCTTGATGAACGGATGTCCTCTCAGGGAAGCACAATAACTCGAAAGACTATTGGGCCTCAAACAGACACCCGACCTCAAGTGGAACTCGTACATACGATCCATTGTTAAGGGTGCAAGTAAAATGGTTGACTTCCTTTACCGCTCTAATAAGTACTTGGCTCCTCCTGCTATCGTCTACCTTTATAAGAGCTAGATCAGACAAGGAATAGAGTATTGTTGCCCTATTTAGAAGATAGCTGCTCAGACCTCACTCTCCAGCCTTGATAGAGTCTAAAACCATTGCCCTGTGGAACCGACTCCCAACGGTATGTTTCCCCGATCACTACAATCTTAACCGGTTCAAAACTGAGATAAACCGTTGTCTTCCACTCCTATATACACAAATGGCCTCCAAACGTAACCTGCTACCTCGAGTAGTCTCCGGGCCTTGTAAAGGTGTGAACCCCACTGTAAAACAAAAACAAATATACGTATGATAAATTGGATAAAGTTTTTTGATGTGTCTCTTCCGTTATGACTTCACCAAACTGGCTTCGTTGAAATTGTTTTGACTTTCACATGTACAGGAATGAGAGATGCAAGTCGTTTCAAATTTTATATATATATACGAGAGTTGTCTGAAAAGTTCATAGACTGACCAAGATTCTCTTATGGAATGTGAACAAATGAGCTGTCACGAACACCGGCCATAGAAGCTAGGGTCTTGTGTGCTGGAATATTGTCCTGATGAAACAAGACCTTTTCGCCAGTTTTCCCGGGCATTTGGTTTTGATAACATTTTTAACTGCATCAGCAATTTGACATATTATTCTCCATTGATGGTATGGCCCTTTTGAAATAGTAAACTCAATGCTTTGTATCTTTAAAAATTAAATAAAAAAATCGTAAGTTGGTTTTTGTGCCCTGTGTGTGTGTGTGTGTGTGTGTGTGTGTGTGTGTGTGTGTGTGTGTGTGTGTGCATTTAGGCAGCAATCGTTCTTTCATGCACATTTCATTGAATACGACAAACAAGGTGCTTTTATTTAGTTTTTTTATACAATTTCTCATGCGATCTAATAATTTTTTTTTCGGATGATAAATTATATAAAAACTGTCCGAATTTTCTTTTTATCGGAGCGCTTTCGGCTATACATTTCGCCATTTTCAAGGATTAAATATTTTAACTGTTAAAATAAGAAATAGTTTGTTGTATGTATGTTTTATAAAATGTTTTCATTTTTCGAAAAACGGTCAAGATATTGCGTCCATGTTCAAAGTTAATATTATTAAGTGTTGTTGTTTTTTGCTTCAATTATTTTTAGCCTTTTTTTGCATGTACATGATGCTATTATATTAGTGTTGTCAACAAGTATGTTACCAATAATGTCCGGTAGGTCTCCATGAATATTTAAATGAAATCTAATTGAGCTATGGTCATAAAGATGTAGAGTGAGTCTGCGTGTCAAACATGTTGTATTGTGGCCTATATAATTATTTACGAATTTTAATTGATCAGGAATACAATTCCTTAATGGGCATTTAAATTCATTTCAATATAAGGGAGCGGACCGGAAATTGGTAGAAATGCTAAATGGCATTAAATGTTTGTTATATTCACTTCAACACGTTGCTGCTACACTCGTAATAAATTTTGTTGAGTGTTTTGTCTATTATTTTCAAGGTGGAGTATATTGGTGTTGTTTACAAGTATTTTCCTGTAATGGCCGAACCCTTTCTTTACACTTTATCGGATAATCCTTTTCTTTAACTGTATGGTTAGTGGGAGTTGAAATTGAGGTATTGTCCGGTGAATGTTGGCTTGCGACAATACCCCAACTCCCACCACCCATGCAGTGTAAAGAAATGGACTGTCCGCTGCCTACAAAATCGAGCAAAAGTCAAAAATGTCGACCCAGAGACATATAAACAAGAAATGGTCAATATAAGCCTTACCTTACAACGCAACGACTACACTGGGTACATGACAGCAGCTCCCAAAAACTGGGATAGAATGATGCAAGGGGATAGCAACACAAAGAAAACAACCTTGGTCTGCCTAACCTATGTGAAAGGATTGTCGGAAAAATACGAAATATCTGTGGTCCATATAATATCAGGACGACCTTCAAAAGTGGTTCAACACTTAGTAGACACCTCTTCCGAATGAGACCTTCCATAGAAAAATCAAGCGTGACTGACTATATATGGAGGGAAAAGGGAGTTCGCCGCCCTATATATGATGAGGTAGGTTGAAATAACTGACGGAAAAATTCACTGTAAAATATAAAAACGTAAGAAATCATTGAATGTGCTAGGCCACAAAAATCTCCTAATCCGGCCAAGCATAGAAATGAATACAATATGGGAACCAGTAATTCAGAGTGCTAGAGAAAAAAACAATAATAACAAATTGTAATATGAGATCTGGTAAAAAAAAAATAATGTTTCCGGTTGATTTTTGAAATCTTTATCAGTCTTCTACATATTGATGTAAATTCATCATACAAGAGTAGAAAATAACATTAATTAATTCATATTATGCTAATCTCGAGAGGCTACTAAATAAATTCAGATTATCCAGTAAATAGTACGAAAGCTTTTACATCGTACTTTCTTTCATATTTTTATCAATTGTACATATATTTCTAGTTGGTTTTTCAAATATTCTTCATCTATTACATATTGATGTATCTTCATCATATAAGAGTAGAAAAATAAAATTAATGCATGCATATGGTATTAATCCCGAGAGGCTATTACGTAACTTCCGATAATCCGGCAAATAGAAAACATATAGAACGTTCTTTCTTAGAAATTTATTTAAAATGAATTTTTCCTGGTTAATTATTGAAGCCATTCTTCATTTTCTACATATTGATGTAAATTCATTATATAACACTAGAAAAATAACATTAATTAATGAATATTTACGAATCTCGAGAGGCTATTACGTAAGATAAGAAATCAGCGCATATGTTAGGCCACAAAAATCTCCTAAGACGGCCAAGCATAGACATGAATACAAAATAACAACTAGTTATGCAAAGTGCTAGAGAAAAACAACAATAACAACAAAATTGTAATGAGTCCTGGAAAAAAGTTACTGAGGTCTATATTCCCCAAAATAAATTTACTGATGCCTCCAAGGACACATGACCCAGTGGATAAAAGCGTTGACTAAAAATTAAAAATCTATCCCGGTGCTTCAGTTCGAAATTCCAACGTGTATCACCTGAAAAAGGCCAGAGCGTACTACGGCCGAAACATCGTGAATATGACAATAAAGATGAGGACAATATTCCGAATAATATAAATAGTTTAAATGAAAATGATAATCTTGCTTAACAATGTTTTCTGAAATGTTAAATGTTGAGGAATCAATGGAAGCTATAAACGAATACTAATTAAAGGGTAAAGTGAGAGAAGAAAGAAGTTTTGGAGAAATGAGGGAGATGAGAAAGGGGGAAGAAGAGGAAGTGAAGAAGGAGAAAATGGGTAAGAAAAAGAGGAGAAATACGGTGAGAGAAAATGTTTGGAGAAAAGAGATAGAAGAAAAAGGAGAAAGAGTGGTGAGAAAGGAGAG